ATGTGGGCGGGTCCCAGGCCTCTGAGGCCGTCTGGGGTGTGCCAGTGCCTCTGGGACCCCCGGACTCTGGGGGTAGGGTGGGGTGGGGCGGTGAGTGGCATGGGGTGGGGTTTGGAGAGGGATATGGCGGCGGGGGGGAGAGGAAGGGTGCAGCGGGGGCCCCCAGATCCAAGCAGGTCCGCAGGGGTCTAGTCTGCGGCTGTCACAGCCGAAAGGATCCGGGCAAAGAACCTCTGGAAAGTTCGGGAGAAGGAACATGCCTGAGCCTTTTGCACCTGCAAGGCCATCCGGTCTCCACCCATGCTGGCCCCTGGCCGCCCGCCAATCAGGGAAGTGAGGACCCATGGGGGGTGGGGGAGGCAGGCAGGGATGGCCAGCCCCCAGGCGGCCACAGGGCACAGTCCACCTTTTCTCCAAGCTGCGGAAGTGAGACCTGGGACCGCACACATCCGGAGTTTCACTGAGGGAGGGGGTGAGGGGAGAGGGACGGAGCCTGACACTCGATCCCGGTCCCATCCACGTGGAGCTGAGTTGGATCCTCCACAGCTGGCATTGCTCCCATTGCAGACCAGAAGACCGAGCCCCAGAGAACAGAATGCCTTGCTGGGCCGGAGCAGGGTGGGAGTCTGATCCAGAGGCAGCTGTACAGACGAAGGGACGTCCCAGCTGCTAAGCAGCAGAGATAGGATCTGAACCTTGGGTTCCGCTGGGCCAAATCCCAAGCTCTCCACCCCAAGGCTCCATCCTTTCTCTCCAACAGTAACTGCTTTACTGAACGCCTACTATGTGCCAGGCACTCTCAGTCATGTCCAGGCTCACTCCGTTGTCTAACCACCACTTATTTCCTCTCTTTACAGACGAGGAAACTGAGGCACAGACAGGTTACCATGTGCCCAGGGTCCCAGCTCCTCCCCTCCCACTTCCTCTCTGGGTGCTGGAAAGCGTGCCCTGCAGAACCAGTGCCAGGGCAGGCTGGGTGTAAGCTAAAGCTTTGCCCTCCCACCACCCTCTGCCCGCTAGACAGCGCTGCGCACCTCACCCCCCGTGCTGTGAGCGGTGGGGTGCCCCTGCGTTGCCCCCGGCGCCTGCCTGCCTGCCCCAGGTGCCACCTCACTATCACCTCTCCTGGCAGCTCCTGGGGTGTCCCTGCTGACGGCTGGTCCCACACTGCCACCCACTGGCCATTCCTCCCCTGGTTCCACTTGCCAATGCACACCTAGATTGTTCCTTGGAGGTACCCTTCCCTGCTCCCAGGGATGGGCCTTGCTCCAGGGTCTCCCTGCCCCTCCCCACCCAGAGCAGTCACCAGACAGGTCACAGCAGTGCCTTCTTCACGGCGGGCTCATTGGGTGTCTATATTCTCACTAGGAACTGTCTCTCCTCTTCTGAAGGACAGTCCACATGTGCTGTGTGTGTGTGTGTGTGCGTGTGTGTGTGTGCGCGCGTGTGTGTGCTGTAACATTCCAGAGGCCTCAGTCCCGTCCCCTCGGACATGCAGGTATCATGCGGTCTGTGTGTCAGATTCTGCCCCCACAAACCCACTCCGGCCCCAGCCCAGCCGTCCCCAGTGCGGAGTCCTCCCATCTGTGTGCCGGTGGCTGTGGCAGACAGACTGCCGCTGGGACAGGAGCAGCACGAGGAGAAACCGTGACTGCTGGGCTGCGGAGGGCGGCTGCAGCGGTGGATAGGTGCCAGCCGGCCTAACGAACGAGAGGGCACGCTCCTCTCGTGGCAAAGCCACGTGCAAGTCCCACACAATTGGAGCCAAAGGCTGCAGCCGTCAACTTGGCCTGATGGTCGGAACTTGCGGTTCCACGTGGCTGGGAGTGTTAGAGGCTGCGGGAGGGGCAGCAAGTAAACAAAGCTGGGTCGGATGATGTAGCTGAGTAGATTCCAAACGTTGTAAATATCTTGACCACGCCCTTACTTGACCTTGTGGAATCTGGCAATAAAATAAAGACTCACCTTGCATGCCATGGCCCTGTCTCTCCATCAGAGAGAAGCGCCCCCCCCTCCTGGCCCCAGCTTTATTCTCTTGTCTGTCTGCTTTAATCCTTCACCGCGCCCTCCTTCCGCAAGCCAGGCTCACTCATGGCTGTGCCATGGGCCCACTGGGTTAACAGCAAACACAGTCGTGTGGGACGCAGGGGGGCGTGTGGTGTGTGAGCACTGGCGTTGGTATGGAGACTGCGGGGGAGAGACACGGCCCCCGCTGACTTTTGTCATTTCTGCGTAGTTTGAGTTTATTATAATAAGCAAGGATTAGTTATGGAATTTAACAGTTTAAGGTAAAGGACACCAGTTGAAGAAAAACAATTATAAAAATGTTAGAGGAATGGTAATCTAATGAACTCCATTTCAAATTTATTTTTATGTTTTTAAAAAAATATGTTTTATTGATTTTGTACAGAGAGGAAGGAAGAGAGAGAGCTAGAAACATCGATGAGAGAGAGTCATTGATCAGCTGCCTCTTGCACACCCCCTACTGGGGATATGCCCTCAACCAACGTATATGCCCTTGACTGGAATCGAACCCGGGTCCCTTCAGTCCCCAAGCCGACACTCTATCCATTGAGCCAAACCGGTCTCGGCATCAAATTTATTTTTAAATACATTGGTATTGATTTCATAGAGGAAGGAAGAGGGAGGGAGAGATAGAAACATCAGTGATGAGAGAGAATCGTGGATCGGCTGCCTCCTGCATGCCCCTCACTGGGGATGGAGCCCCAAACCCTGGCATGTGCCCTGACAGGAATCAAATGGTGACCTCCTGGTTCATCGGTCCATGCTCAACCCCTGAGCCACGCATTAACTCCAGTTGCAGAAAACATGTTATCTCAGAGCATGCAGCGAGATGCCCTGGGCTGGGAGCGGACCCAGCCCCACCCTCAGCTGCCTGGCCCTTTGTTATGAGTGGGACTCTGCTCAGCCTCCGGTTCTCCTGGCCCAAACCAGAGGGAGGGTCCTTCTCCAGCTGCCAAGCCATGGAAGCTTCCAGATCTCACTCAGGCTTCCTCCAAGGCTCTGAGATCTCAGATCAGATTCTCAGATGGGGCCCAGGGACAAAGGTCCTGGGTCCAGCTGAGCATAAATGGGCGTGAGAGTGTGTGTTCTGCGTTTTTGCATGCTGGTGTGACTGAGCATTTGTGTAAACATGTATGGACATGTGCGTATATGTGAGCTGTGTGAGAGTATGTGTGAATATGTAGATGTGGGCGGGGCCAGGGAGTCACACCAGAGGAGAGCCTAGTTTGAGGGTAAGAGCTGGCCCTGGAGGTGTCCTTTGGGGTTGGGATGGGGGCTACTGACCTCTGGCAGGGGCTTGACCCCCCAGGGTTCTCTGTCTGCGTGTCTGCCATACAGGCTGCATGGGATGGGCACAGCCCTCGCTTTTCCAGTCCGTGAGATCATTGGGTGTCCAGGTAGAGCACTCACCCACCGTCTGATCGCAAAGAACGGTTCAGCAGGTCAGCTGAGGCTGCCACCAGGCCTCCTGTTTCACAGAACCCTGCTGGTTTGAAGGTCACCTTGGGCTCCGTTAGCCTTAAAGGGCCTTCAATTCAATGTCTGCACACAGCGGGTCCCCACTCACCAGGAGCTGCTGCTCTGAAGAGCCTGGCCCCGAAGCCCAGGCGTCCACGTGCGTCTGTGAGGCATGCGGGGAGGGGGCGGGAGGAAGGGGCGGGTCGCTGGTCCCCAATCCCAAAGCCCAGAGCAGCTCAGAGACACCTGTGTGTGGGACAGCGGCCCGGCAGCTGCGGTCCCGCGGGTGACCTGTAGATGGCAGCAGAGGCACGCGGAGGGAAGCTGTACAGAGTCGCTCCAGGTGAGCCTCGTGGTTCGGTTCGGTCCCTCGGCCTCGGGGTTGGGGATGGGACGGGGACACACGCAGGCGTGGAGCAGATTTGTCCAAGGAGACACAACACCCTCTGCGGCTCTAGACAAGTTGCTTCTCCTGGGTGAAATAAGAGTTTCACAGCTTGTGATGGGAAAATTGACTCAAAATAAGGAAGGAAGCCTAACAACAGACCTACACGTGGAAGGGGAAATCACAAAGCTAATAGAGAACCTGTCACTGGGGTGTGGGAGGAGGAGAGTTTTTGTCATTTATTTTAGCGAGGGAGGAAAGGAGAGAGAGAGAGAGAGAGAGAGAGAGAGAGAGAGAGAGAGAGAGAGAGAGAGTGAGAGAGACATGGGTGTGAGAGAGACACAATGATCAGCCGCTTCCTGCAAGCAAGGGCCTCCACGGGGAACGAACCCGTGACCTCTGGTGCACCAGCCGAGACCCCAACCAACCGAGCCACGCTGGACAGAGCAGGAGGAAATGTTTTGTTTTACTATTTTATTTTAATTATATATATATTTTATTGATTTTTTTACAGAGAGGAAGAGAGAGGGATAGTTAGAAACATCGATCAGCTGCCTCCTGCACACCCCCTACTGGGGATGTGCCTGCAACCAAGGCACATGCGCTTGACCGGAATTGAACCCGGGACCTTTCAGTCCCCAGGCCGACGCTCTATCCATTGAGCCAAACCGGTTTCGGCTTTTTTTTTTTTTTTAAGGAGGAGACGTTTTAAACACGATCCTAAAAGCCCAAACTTTAAGGAGAAAATTAAATGGGAATTTAGGATTTCCCAAGGGAAAAAATAAGCTGACGGTATGAGCAGGGGGTGCACACAGGAGAGAGATGCCAGTGGCAGAGAGACGCGAATCACAACGAAAGACTGGGCGCCGGGAAGGAAGTCTCAGGTTTACAAGCCCATGGGAGGCCGCCAAAAGAGAAGGAAAAAACAAAACCGACTCAAGTGGAGGAACAAGACTTCCTAGCTCGCTCCTAAAGTCAGGGCTCGCCCAGCCCAGGCTGGAGGGACCCGGTTTCGGGCCAGGGAGGTCCCGGGAGCCTGAGAGGTGGCCCCGGAAACCACGCCCATTTATGCAAATAACAGCTCGGGGCGGGGCCTGCCTTGGGCGCCCGCCCGCCCCGTCCCGCCGCGGACGCCTGGCCCTTTAAGGCTGACCAGGCCCGGCCTCCGGTTGTCGGCGCGGGGCGGGGGGCGGTCACGTGGGCCGCGGGCGGCCAGACTCGCGGCTCCGCGACCGTGGCCGTCGGCTCCCGCTCCCGCCGCCCGCGCCGCCGCCCGGTGCCCTGCGGTCAGGTACGCGCTCGCCAGGTGCCCTCCCCGCGCCCCCGCGCCGCCCGTTCCCGGGACCCACGGCCCCTGGCGCACCCATAGGTGCCCCGGGCGGCTTCGCTGTCACCCGGAGGCGGCGCGACCCCCGACCCTCCGCGCGTCCCTTCGACCCTGGGCAGTTGGTCCCCAGCGCGCCCCCAGCCGCACCCCCAGCCCCGTCCGGCTCGGGGCGCCGCGGCTGCGGTGTGTTGGAGGCTGGGGTGTGTTGGAGGAGGCTGGGGTGTGTTGGAGGAGGCTGGGGTGTGTTGGAGGCTGGGGTGTGTTGGAGGCTGGGGTGTGTTGGAGGAGGCTGGGGTGTGTTGGAGGAGGCTGGGGTGTGTTGGAGGAGGCTGGGGTGTGTTGGAGGAAGCTGGGGTGTGGTGGAGGCTGGGGTGTGGAGGAGGCTGGGGTGTGTTGGAGGAGGCTGGGGTGTGTTGGAGGCTGGGGTGTGTTGGAGGAGGCTGGGGTGTGTTGGAGGAGGCTGGGGTGTGTTGGAGGCTGGGGTGTGTTGGAGGAGGCTGGGGTGTGTTGGAGGCTGGGGTGTGTTGGAGGAGGCTGGGGTGTGTTGGAGGAGGCTGGGGTGTGTTGGAGGCTGGGATGTGTTGGAGGCTGGGGTGTGTTGGAGGAGGCTGGGGTGTGTTGGAGGCTGAGGTGTGTTGGAGGCTGGGGTGTGTTGGAGGCTGGGGTGTGGTGGAGGAGGCTGGGGTGTGGTGGAGGCTGGGGTGTGGTGGAGGAGGCTGGGGTGTGTTGGAGGCTGGGGTGTGGTGGAGGCTGGGGTGTGTTGGAGGAGGCTGGGGTGTGTTGGAGGCTGGGGTGTGGTGGAGGCTGGGGTGTGGTGGAGGCTGGGGTGTGTTGGAGGAGGCTGGGGTGTGTTGGAGGAGGCTGGGGTGTGTTGGAGGCTGGGGTGTGTTGGAGGAGGCTGGGGTGTGTTGGAGGAGGCTGGGTGTGGTGGAGGTGGGTGTGGGAGGCTGGGGTGTGTTGGAGGAGGCTGGGGTGTGTGGAGGCTGGGGTGTTGGAGGAGGCTGGGGTGTGTTGGAGGAGGCTGGGGTGTGGTGGAGGAGGCTGGGGTGTGTTGGAGGAGGCTGGGGTGTGGTGGAGGCTGGGGTGTGTTGGAGGAGGCTGGGGTGTGGTGGAGGCTGGGGTGTGGAGGAGGCTGGGGTGTGGTGGAGGCTGGGGTGTGGAGGAGGCTGGGGTGTGTTGGAGGCTGGGGTGTGGTGGAGGCTGGGGTGTGTTGGAGGAGGCTGGGGTGTGGTGGAGGCTGGGGTGTGTTGGAGGAGGCTGGGGTGTGGTGGAGGCTGGGGTGTGTTGGAGGAGGCTGGGGTGTGGTGGAGGCTGGGGTGTGTTGGAGGAGGCTGGGGTGTGGTGGAGGCTGGGGTGTGTTGGAGGAGGCTGGGGTGTGTTGTTGGAGGCTGGGGTGTGTTGGAGGAGGCTGGGGTGTGTTGGAGGAGGCTGGGCGAAACTCGCTCTTCCCTCCTCCGCAGGTGCCAGGCCGGGGCCGCCTCTGCGCGCCCCACGGGGGCCATGGATGGCGAGACGGGCGAGGCGCAGGGGGGCGCGGTGCCCCTGCCGGGCGCACCCTCCGGCCCCGGCCAGGCGGGGCGGCGGGAGCCCAAGAAGCACGCCGTGACCGAGGACTACCAGCTGTCCAAGCAGGTGCTGGGCCTGGGCGTGAACGGCCAGGTGCTGGGGTGCGTGCACCGGCGAACCGGCCAGAAGTGCGCCCTGAAGGTCAGTGACGCCCCCGCAGCAGGGCTGTGCGCCTCCGCCTCAGCCTCCCCTCCCCTCCCCTCCCTCCCCGTGGGGCCAGGCTCCCGTCCGCCCGCCTTAGAGGTGGGAAACTGAGGCTCAGCCTGGGGGAGCTCCTGGTGGAGCCTGTGGAGAGCCTGTGGGCCCGGGGTGCTGGCTGGGCTTGTGTATTCCCCCCACCGAGCGGGCCCTCTTCCAGGAGCTGCTCCTGTGGTTGGAATGCGTCTGACTTTCGCTCTGAGGCGGAGAAACCACAAAGCTCGGAGGTGGGGGGTGAGGAGGGCGGACGTTACTGTCTCCTGCCCGCCCGCCCGCCTGCCTGGGCCCGCGGGAGCTTCCCAGGCTGCCTGGTGGGCAAGGCTGATGATGCCCATCACACCCGGGCAGGAGGCTGCTGCCGGCTGCCGCTGAGTCACCGGCCCCGTGCGCAACAAGGCAGGCCCTGCTCCATGCCTGACCCAGCCCGGCTCCTGGGAAGAGGGCGGGCCAGCCAGCTAGCCAGGGCACACCTCAGGCTGCTCCCTGACGAGGTGGCATCGGGCGAGTTCTGTGTGGGGTGCGGGTGGCTGGCCTAGCCACCTAGTTCTGGCCGAAGTCACTTAGTTCTAGGCCCGGACCCTGCCCCATACCCCGAATCCCTTGAATCTGAGAACTTAAGTCAACTGCAGCTTGTGGCCTCGGCCGCCTGGATGGGCAGCGCCTGGCACGGAGCGTGGCTCCTGGAGGTCAGAGCCCAGCAGAGGACCTGCCCAGGGTACAGGTGGAGCCACCCTGAGCCTGAGCTCTCGGTCCTGCTCTGACCTCTGGCCTGCATTGGCCAGCTCCGTGACCTTGGACTAGGTTCTGGAGTCTTGACAGCAGGTCTCTGCCTCTGTTGGGGGAAGAGGGGGGAGACACGGGCTGGTGTGAGCTGTGGAGGAGGCGACGGGCATAGAGTCGTTGGCACAGAGCCCCGGGCAGGCCTGGCGAGGCGACAGCACTTACTTAGGGCACAGGGTCTGCCAGCGTCCGAGCGGGAGCCTGGGCTCAGCTCCCTGCGTCTTTCCCCGGGGGCACTAGGGCTGAGAGAGGGGCGGTACCCTGGGTGGTGTTGGGGATCAGGAGGCTGGGTCCAGAGGAGGCCGGGGTGGGCTGGGGAGGCCAGGTCTCAGACACGGCTCCTCTGCCTGCTGACCCAGCAGTGGGGTCATGGGGGTGGGGCCCTTTGGAGGCCCAGGCAGCAGGTTCTCGGAGTCCTTCAGGGGAAAGACGGCTCTTCTGAGGGGGGTGGGCTCCGGGGGTGAGAGGGGAGCATGCCCACCCTCTCTCTCAGCTCCACCTTAGCCCTTTCACCCGTGTTCGAGTCGGGGTGCAGCCTGGGTGGGGAGGGGCTGCCCGAGGCCAGAGAATGTCTTCTTAGGCCACGGCCCTGTGAGCCAGGGCTGGGCTCTGACCGGCCCCGTGCCATGAGCGAGGCAGGCCTGAGCGGGGGCTGCAAGGAGGGGGGCGCAGGCAGCACCAGCGTTAACCAGGCTGGGCCCAGGCCCTGCCCCCTTGGTGCTGCGTCTGATGAGGGACGCGGGGCTCTTCTGGCTGCAGCGCCTTCCAGAGCACGGCTCCTGCACCGGGGCCCCAGCGCCTTCTCCGTTCCAGACTGGGAGCTGGCCGGCTCCCCGCGGGGCCGTTAGGCTGTGTGGGTGAGCCTGGCGAGGCCATGGCTTAGGGCTTAGGCCCCGCAGGACCTGGCCCCCCGCTGACCCTGGGGAGGGGCGTGGAGGAGGTTTGGCCCTCACCTTCCGGGTCTTGCCCCCTCACACCAGTGGCCACGCCCGGAAGTCCCTACCCAGCCAGGTAGGCTCGCATTACACCCCCCAAGCTGGGCTGGCGCAGCCCCTGGCGCGCGGGGCCTGTCCGGGGAGTGGTGGCTCGCACCTGGAGGAGGGAGGCGGCGCTTTTCCTCTGACATTTGCCTCTGCCCCCTGCCCCGGAGGGCCAGGGCCTGGGCATCTCAGCACCTGGGCAGGCCTGGCTGGGCCCAGGGACTCAGCCCTTTCTCTGCCTTGCCTCGCCCCCTCTCCAGCTGCCCCGGTCAGCCGAGGTGGGCCCCTGGGCTCCGTGACTTTCTGCCCCCCCCCCCGCACCTCCATCCCAGCTCCCGGGCTGGCCTGTCTTCGCCTCGTAGCCCGGACACGTGCAGGCCGCCGCTGCCCTTCCTGGCGGTGCAGGCCGGTGCCCCGGCCTCCCTCCAGGCCCTCCTCTCGGCCGTGTGGCTGGAGAAGGCAGACAGCGCTCAGCGTCTGACAGCACGCTCCGAACAGGAAGAGCTGTGGTCGCCGCCCCTGTGGCTGCTGCTGTTCTGCGGGGGCCCCCGGGGAGCGGGGCCTCTTCCCCTTTCCCTCGGCCCTGACCGCTGGCTTGGTCTCCCATGGCCTTGCTGTCGCCCAGGGGCCCCCTCCCAGGGCAGCCTCCGCAGCCAGCGCCCTCACGCTGCTGGCCATGCCACCCTGGGTGCTTGCTGCTGTCCCCTGGGCAGGAGCTGGGCTGCCTGCTGAGTATGGGCGCAGTGACCACCTCCTGCTGACTTCTCACTGTGCCCCTTCCCAGGCCCGATGGGCTGATTGGCACCTCAGAGTGTCACTCCTGACGGGGCACGGGCCTGAAGCTCCGTCCCCGCCAGTTACCCCGGCACCTCAGAGACCCAGCCCCTCCACCCTAATCACAGAGGTGAAGACTGGGACCCGAGCTGCAGCCAGAAAGTCGTGTGGCCTGATTGGGATGGGATTGCTGCAGCGGCCAGAAGCCCCTGGCGCTGACTTCCTCCCCGGCCCCCTGTGGTCCTCGGCCTCCTGGCGGGCGGAGGTAACCATGGCGCTCGCTTAGGTAAATAAAAGCAAGAAAGGCCTTGCGAGGCAGGCCGAGGTTCCTCCCGGGGAAGGAGAGGGAGTCCTCCCGCAGCGCTGGGCCGGGCGGGGCCCCTGCCCTCACTGTGGACCATGTTGGAGGTCCCCCCGGGCTCCCAGCGCCCTCCTCTCTGGGCTTTGTCAGAGAGGAGGGCGGTGGTGGGCGCGGGTGCGCATGCCCCGGAGATCCCCGCATTGCTCCGTGGGCGTGGCGGGCCTGTGGGAGCGGGCGCGGGAGCCGGGTTTGGGGTGGGTGCGGCTGCCAGCGGGCCAGGTGCCGGCTCACTCGGCAGCTGCCACGCCCTCGCCTACCTCTCCAGACCGGTCAGGTCAGCCTCCGCAGGGGCGCCTGCCACTGAGTCAGCTTATCAGGAAGTGGACGAGGGGCTGGCGGCCCAGTGGTCGCCGCCCTGAGCCTCTCCCCAGGCCCCTCTCCTGGGAGGGAAGGGTGTAGGGCCCGGTGCTGCCTCGCTGGCGGAGCCTGCTGGCTGGCTGCCTGGCACGTTGCTCTTTCCCCTGGGGCTCCTCGGAGGCCTCAGACCCTGAGCCACGCAGCCATGGCATTTCCGGCGGGCGGGAGGGTGGGGAGATGCTGTGCGCCTGCCCAGCGGGCCATGCCCACGGCCTGAGGAGCTGCCCGCCCGGCTCCCGGCTGGTCTTCCGTCAGGAGCCGGTGCCGGCGCTCCAGGCTCGAGGCTTCGGCGGTGTGGACTCCGGGATTCTCACCGACAGCTGGCAGTTTCCAGAGCGTTCTGTCGGGCAGGCCCCGCGTTCCATGCATGACACACACGTGCTGGCTCACCTCACTGCTGCCATCCCGTTTTGTGGATGGGGCACTGGGGCTCAGAGGGGTGAGCGCCTTGCCCGAGGGCCACAGCTGGTGAGGGGCAGGGCTGGAGGTTAGCCCCGAGGTCACCTCCGTGTGCCTGGTGCAGACCTGGGGCGACGGGAGGGGCTCCTGGGAGTGGCCTGGCGCCGCCCTCCACGGCCCTCGGCAGCCCCGGCCGGCCCCCTGTGCCCCGTTTGCCGACCTCTCCTCCCGACACAGGACTCGGGGGCGGCTGGACGGTGGTGACCCCGCAGGGTCCGTGCGCGGGGACGGGTGGCTGCGGGGCCGCCTGAGAACGGCGCTGGGTCAGCCACGCCGTGTGGTCCGCAGGCGGGGCCGGCGGGGGCCTCGGGAGGAGCCTGCCTGCTCGCGTCCAGGTCTCTGGCCTGAGAAGGGCATGGCAGGGTGTTGACCGCCTGCCTGGCGTGACAGCTCCGTGCCCGCTGTGGGTGCCACTTCCCCCCGGCAGGCCTGTCCGGCAGGATGTGGCTGCTCTCGGCGGGGCTGCTGGAAGAAGGGCTTTGTGCAAGAGGCCGTTGTGGTGGGCTTGCAGGACGAGGCCAAAAGGTCGGGGGGGGGGCTGTCCCTCAGGTTCACCCCTCACCCGTCCCCAGGCCTCTGTCGGGGGAGGGGGCTCCCTCTTCTCGCAGCATCGCAGGTGGAGGCCGCCGGGGGTGTCCAGCTCCGGCTGTGCGGGCGGCCCCAGCCTGCACGGCGGCAGAGGGATGCCCGCCCGGGTTTGCCCGGGAAGCCGTTCCTCCCCGTGGGCATCGCCGTGGGAGACCCCTGCACGGGGCCGCCGTGGGGCTCCTTGCTCTGAGCCCCCCAGCTTCCTCGGGGCGCAGCCTGGCCACTGGCTGGCGGCCCCGAAGGCGATGCCCGGGAAGACCCGGGTGAGGTGCCCCGCACCCCTGGCCGTGGTGTGCGCCGAGCCCTGCGCGTCCGGGTCTGCGGGGCCGGGGCAGCGAGACCCCGGCTGCCAGCTCCTCCCTGGGGCGCTCGGCTCTGCCTCCCTCGCCCCGTCAGGTGGAGACCCTGCACGAGCCCACGGGAGGGCGGCCGGGGTGCGGGAGGAGCAGGCTGGGGGCTTGAAACCCTCCTGCACTCTCTCCCCGAGCGACCGCGGTGGGGACAGTTCCCGGATCGTCTGCAAACCCGCCTTTGTGTGCAGCCAGCCCTGGGGTGAGGCTCCCGCGATCCTGCCGGGAGAGCAGCTTCCTGGGGCAGAGCCCTTGGTTGGGGTGGCCTGGGCGCATGGGGGTGGAGACAGCACC